CTTCGACATACCTTACATGAATTATCATAGCCCACCCATACCAAATCTGCCCCACAGGAAAGTCTCAACTGCCAGTCTAGATTGTGTACTCCTGGTTTTAAGCCTGTATCTTCTACAAAGCAGCAAAATTAACACAATGATGTTATATTTAGTATTTTTATTTTCTTTTTTTTATTTTTTGAGACAGGGTTTCTCTGTGTAGCTTTGGAGCCTATCCTGGCACTCGCTCTGGAGACCAGGCTGGCCTTGAACTCACAGAGATCCACCTGCCTCTGCCTCCCGAGTGCTGGGATTAAAGGTGTGCACCACCAACGCCCAGCTATATTTAGCATTTTTCTAGTAAAGGAGAGCATGGGACAATACAATTTTTAAAAGATGAAATCACAATATTGATTCACATTCTTCAAATTACTTGTTGAAAAAGCACAATACACAAAAAGAGCATAAATTTCAACAACGCATAGCCTAATTTTATCTAAAAATCTAATGCCAGGCATGGACCTATGGGCTCAGTTGTAGATGTTTTACCTAGCATGTGCAGAGTCCTAGATTTCACCCCAAGTACTGGAGAAAATCTGATGTTGTCCAAATATATCCCATGTTTTAAGCAACTGATAGCACATTGCTAAGTAGACATCATCTAGTCAGTAGTGAGCATAAATGAAATAGCTTTACCCAATATTTTCCTTTGGTCAATACTTTAGATTTCAAAAAAAAAAGATAGAAAAGAACACATTTGCTAAGAAAACTGGGTCAAGGGTTAGGTTAATGTGGAAGGAGAATCAACTGAAACAAACTTTTCTTAGAAATGCTAGAATGATAATTAATGCAAACTTTCAAAAACTAAAATGAAAATGGTGTATAGTTTCTTCCCCGTTCCCCTAATGCCATCTTTACAAGTACAGTCCCTGAAACCATAAAATAACAGGCATACTATTAAACTAATCTAAAAGCTTCATTTGAGTCTTGTCAATTGTCCTTTTTCTGGTCCAAGAGCCAATCCTATTACAAAATTCATTTTTTAACTATGTCCTTATGATCTTCCACTCTGAACAGTGCCTCCCACATGCCTTTGAACAATACTGGCCTGTTGCTTTGTAAAGTATCTCTCTATTTGCTAGTACATGTTTTATTCTTATGATCAAAATGAAGTTATTCAATTCAGGGAAAAAAGTTACAAGGCAAAATTTTGTCCTCCTTAGTGTGCAGTATCAAAATATTGACTGAAGAGTCAGAACAAATCATTTGGATCTGTTTTGAACAAAATAAGATAGATGAATAACTTCTTTAGGAACATGAAATACTGATTCAGAAAGAGACCAAAGTTGCAATAGCCATACTTAAGACACAAAGCCACCTGGAGCTCGGTAGGTGGTGGCCAAACTAAGACATAACCCAAGATGAACGAGCAGAAACAGCAGTCAGACATGAGACAATAGGAAGATATGCAGACTGAACGAAGTTCAACCAAACAGAGATAGGTACATGTAGAATGCACTTCAGAAGAACATGGTGCAAGACAGACAAAGAGGATATTTTCTAAGAAACCCTGAAATATGTTCTACACAGCTAATAGGTGTATCTCATTTCCATAAGGTAGGCCATCTTTGAAATGTCTGTAAATATTCCTTTTGTAACTCAGAAGCTGTTTTTTATGCTCTAACATGGATGTTTCTGCAAATAAAATGGACCTAAAACATTAAACAAAGTGGGAAACTGCAACTTGGTTTGCAGTTTGCAGTTTGCAAAACTGCAATTGAGGGGGTGGGGGCTGGAGGGCAGCAGAGAGAGATTGAACATGAAGTTGAATATAGAGAGGTGGGAAGGTCTGGAAGGAGTTGGGGGAGGGAATCATGTTCAAAACATATTGTGTGAAAAATTAAATAAATTCATAAAACATCTATTGGTGATGCGGGGGGAATCTCCAATGTAATAAAATAATGAAAGAAAAGCAGAGAAGAGAAGAGAAGAGAAGAGAAGAGAAGAGAAGAGAAGAGAAGAGAAGAGAAGAGAAGAGAGAAGAAAAGAAAAGAAAAGAAAAGAAAAAAGGGTGACTGGTAGTTGATAACTAACTGCAGATTAACTTGGACAAACATACAAACTTTGCAGGGTTGAATATCTAATCACCAAGTTTGCATCATGATTCTTTGGCCTGAAGAAAATCTCAATTAAAACAGTTCTTAATTCTGCATTAACCTTGCTGACCTCAAGTGTTTGTTTTTCCGCTTTGTGTAGTCTGTGCTATTTTGTCAATGTGACCTTAATCATCTCCAGATTTGCCAGGTGCTTTTGAATGCAGTGTTCTAAATGGTTCAGGGCCCAAGATCTCCAAGGTGCATGCTTTCCTGGTTGGGTAAACAGTACTAGATTAGAAATGCCTTTTCTGATTTGTTAGCTTAATTGGGGGAGACATAATTAGTTTTTGAAAGCCAGTTCAACTTTAAATACCTTCTTTTTTACAATGGAAGGTAATTCTTAACTTTCCATCATCTAGATGTGTGTTCCTTAGTCTGGAATCTTGATTTTGCTTATTTTCACCTGTGACTAGTGTGATTGTTCATTAGCATCCTAGCTCAGATCATTCTTGCCCTTTCAAAAACAAAAGTTCAAAAACAAACCTTTTGAAAAACCTAAGATTTCTGCTGTGCTGTTGCACAGTAGAGAGACCATGGTTGACAATCCTTTACCCAGTATTTTTTAATTTAAATTAGAAACAATCTTATTTTACATATCAATCCTGGTTCCCTTTCCCTCCCATCTTCCCACGCCCCTCATTGATCCCTCCCTTCCCACTTCCCTTCCACTCCCCAGGGATATTCTTCTACTTTAGTTGCTTGTAAAAGGCACTTGGCAGGTATTGTCAAATGAAGAATTTTTAATAGCCAAAGTCTCCATTAGCTTAAGATATTTGATGAAAAACAAGTGTATAGTTAAGATATATATTCCCTTTTCATATGGGTCACATTTGGCTACAAAATTGTCATGCCTTGACTTTATACTCTACTTGATATGTCTTAAAACAGAAACAATTCTATAATATCTCTTAAAGTTTGGAGTGAGAAATCTTGAATCTATAATTAATTTAACGGTACAATCATCATTCATATGTTCCCAATGAGACTATAAATTTGCGCTCCTGTAAATGGGAAGATGGCAGACTAGCAACATTTATCGAAAACCAAAAGAAGTACTGGCCAGTTGGCTTTGGATAACCACTTTGAGGACTCTGCCCTGGGAAAGACTATTTCTCCTGCTTTCGGTATTCCTTAGTTTCCTGTAGCTCCTTGTCTAGGGTTGGTGGCCCATGAGACTCTCCTTGCCATGTTAGCATGTCTTTTGCTGTCGTTCTTGTTAACATCTTGTTTGTTGTTGAAGTCATGTTGTTGAGACTTCATGAGTGTAGCTTTCCAGATATTTCTAGAGGACACAATATTACAATATCTAGTTTTCTGGCTCTTACAATTTTTCTGACCCGTTTTCTGCAATATTTTCTGAGCCTCAGGTGCAGGAGTTGTACACGTTATCTATGCAACAACAGTGTCAAAAGGGGGCCAGAGGCAACGAATTTGAAAGAGGAAGGATGCTATATGTGAGAGGTTTGGGAGGGGAGAAGGGATAACAGAAATGATGGCATTATTTTCATTTCAAAAAATAAAATAAAGACAAAATATCACATATCCTTTAATTGAAAATTCTACCCCCAAGAACTTATCATTAATAATATATTCAATAGAAAAATAATAAAAGGTTTATTTTGTAGTGTGTCCTGCACAGATGGTGCATATTATAGAAAGTTCACCATAGTCAATAGAAAAGACTGTAAACTTGTATGGACCCTAGCTATGTCCAGACTACTATTTGGTGATATTTAAAGTGGTATCACACAGTAATGTTCATACCACTGATACCTTGTCAAGTAAAATATCAAGCTATATAATAACATGCACTGTAATTTAAAACTAGCCCATAAACACAGAAAGGAATTTGAAATATAGTCACCAAATTATAAAATATTCACAGTGGTTATTTCTGTACGGCAGGGTTGCCAGTAATTCAATTTTTTTACCAATAATTTTGCTTTGTTCCTAGCAATATATGTTACCACAACAATACTGTTTAATGTCTCTTAATCCACTATATAGGCATACAAATACATAAATTAGCTCTCAAGTTACATATATAGAATTAATGTTTAGCAAGGAAAATTAAATGTTCTGTCAACTTGTCAGACATCCTTAAGAAGCCTCGGTGCGTGTGGAAATTAGTGTTAGACAGTCAAGCCTTTGTTTTAAACAGCATGTTTTTGCCAATAGCAAGGATTATAAGGTTATTGATATTCTCAGTGTGGTTGTACTAAAATTGAGCTTAGAGAATCAGAAATGTTCTCAAGGAAAGTACACTGGAAATTTTAAACTTTTTTTTTTTTTTTTTTTAAAAAAGCTGTATCCAGCAAGTGTCCTGGCAGTATCCAAATTCTGTCCCACATGGCGGTAATGACACAACACACTGCTAACTATCTCAGTCATTTGAGAATGTGTAACATCTTTGTTACAGTCATCACAAACAATTTGCCATCCTAAGAAAGGTATTTTGAAAATATGGTCTTTACCCCAAAATGCTCATTTCACAACACAAATAAATAAGAGAGAGGCAGGCATACACTCTGAGGACAGTGGTTTGCCTTCTGAATTGCACTAGATGGTGGTAATATGATGAGGTTCTAGCCTACTACTTGGCAGGAACAAACAGCCAAACCCCGCAGCAGGAAATCCACAGGAAAGGGAGATTTGGTTTCAACTGCCAGTTTTTATTAAGTCAGTGCTGCATATAGCTCCCACAATGTGTCTGAAATTTGGGTAAACCCTGGTGGTTTTATTTATTTTATTCTGCTTGGAAGACCATTTCTTTAATCTACGAACAATTAAATTATATTACTTTCTATTAGAAAATTGTGGTATCTATTCTTTATTTACTGAAAGAAATACCTTTTTATTTTTCAGAGCTTCCGTATGGCTGGGAAAAAATCGATGATCCCATATACGGCACTTACTATGTTGAGTAAGTCTCTAAGTGTGATATTAACTTGTTACTAATATGTTGTGAAATTGTGCTAGCATTTCATTTATTGAGCATGCATGGCTAACAATTCTCTTTCATCTAACTCTGAGATGTCTGCAAAGACTCCAGTGGTATGGCTAGCTATTTCTTGATTCTGCACCTGGCTGATGTGTCATTCCTGATTCTGAAGTATTGTGTTCTCCACTGTCCTCAGAATGAGTGATTGTCAAAGGTGCTTAAGTGAGTGCCTTTCATTTTGAAACCCAGTGTTGGGAGCTGGCTGCTTGTGCAAAGTGATGTTCTATTATACCAGATTTCAAATTAACTGAATCAGGATGCCTTCCCATGAAAGGAAAAGACAAAATTTTGGTGCTTTCTCATTTGTAGGACTCTGAAGTACAACGACAGTGCTATTGCAGCACACTGGACTTTCTTTCACGTTACATATTGTTTGTTGTATAGCATCAACGTGTCTAACCATAGTGTGAATTGTCTCCATCTATGTACTGTTTACTCAGACTAGAGAATCTATTCGTGACTAACTTGCTACACACATAATTTTTCCTTAAGAAAATAGAATGATATTCACAATTCTCTAAAATTAATTGTGATTTGCTTTCCATCCCTTTCTCTTCTGATAAAGAATGTCTAACTCTTATCCATTGTGTGGTGCTCCTAACATTGTTTGAGTGAATCGCAAAGCCCATATACAATACTACCCAAGGAGTCCAGTGCTTGCAAAGCCAAAGACTTTCACACTGTTTATCAAGATTGAACTCATTTTCTTCTCATCATAATCCATGTACAATAATAATCAGGATGGCCAGGGGTCGTATATTAATGGCTTTCTTACCAAACTGCTTTGTGATAGCATTCATTCAGTTACTGGCTTTTGTTATGTGTCAAGCCCTTCTTTGTGCTGCAGATGTTCAGATGAGACTTGCTCATCTGAACCCCACTGCTCCTGAGTCTTTCCTGCATGAGCATTTGTCTCAATTACTTTGACCCCCGCACTCCATGTTCATCTGGAGAAGCCCCAAGTTTGGCTCCACAGTTCATCATTTCCATATTCATGGTCAAGGTGAATTCAGCTCATTTATTATAAGCACTCTTCTAACATAGAGTTTACCCTCTAATGTGTGGGCACTCAATCAATATAAAAAGTAAGATAAATACATAGAGTTATGCTTGATTGCAAAGAAGAGAGAGTGGCTGAAAGGCAAGGGAGAATATCATTTGTAAATACTTGCATGCTCTCCAAGCCCTATTAAACTGAAAATGGGGAAAATACTTGTTTGAACAGTAATAAAACTTTATCCGTAATAAATTTAACAGCATAGTAAGTATAGTAAGTTCTAGCTTGAATGCTTGATTGTATTTGTTTGCCATGCTCAAGATCACGTCTACTACTGAGTACTACACTCAACCTTTCTAGATTGTCTTCACTCAATGAGGCCACACATGCCTCAGTGTAGGGCATCTGCAGATCAAAGTGCTTCCATGTGATGACACAGGGCTGAGATGTATGACATGCCATGTCTCTTGTTGAGTATATGAATAAAATCCTCTCCTCAGTGCCAGTGTTGTCAAGCTCCATAAAGATCCAGGTAACAAATATTTGGGGATTCTCACAGCCTCACCTTTTCTAGTGTACAAGCAACCACTGGTATCAGTTTCATTGTGAGGGGCTCTACCACAAAGTGTCATTTACAAAGGCAAGAACACAGGCCAGGTCTGATGTGCAAGTCCTACCTTGCTGACCCCTGCCTTCTTCTAACTGTTTAGATTATTATTTTTATTATTCATTTGTGTCTTCATGTGCTTTGAAACTAATTTCCAATGTGCAGACAGCCTCTGTCCTAATCATTTATCAGAATAAGATAAGCACCTACATATCAGAAAGCTATTTCTACTTATCTGATCCTCACATGAAGGCCTGCAGAGGGTAGACTCTAACAGTCAACTGCTGCTGATCCTCATGTGAAGGCCTACAGAGGGTAGACTCTAATAGTCAGCCATTGACTTGGACATAGGCTATATCCCTAAAAACGAACCCTTTGTTAACTTTTTACTTTGAATTACTTTTTTCATTTGTATATTTTTAATTAAGTCATACTCTTCTATTTCTCCACTTCATTTTCCATTTATCACAGCCATGTTTGAAAAAAAAAAAAAAACTCTTCAGAGTCCAATCATGCGTGCCCAATTAGATCGAAAAATGAGTCTGATAGTTCTAGGTTTCAAGTGATTATAAGGTCACATACACAAGCCACAGTAAGTCAAAGTAACTGAACTTTCCTCTAGTAGATTAAGCTGTGCTATTTTCCATAGCCTTGTTATTACAGGACTCCAGAGAATACACCAGTATTAGTTACTAGATGTGTGACTATGTCAGGCCAAGCAGAAAACTGAGACAAATAAGCAGATAGTCCAAACATGCAGTTAACATTAAATAGAACATTAACAAAATGTTTTTCAGAAAAATGTTTTGTGAAAAATTCACCAACATATTTTAAATACCTCAAGTTATTATATACATATATATATATGTATATATATATGTTTTCATATATATTATATACATAAGAGTGTATGTGTGTGTGTGCTGCCTGAAGTAAGAAATTTCTTCCATCAAAATAAGAGAATTTGTCATATATTTTCATTAGAATATATCTATTTACATGATTTTTTTCCAACTGTGTCATCTCCACTATGCTATCATTGACACAGGTGTATATTGGCTCTGAAAGTTGTCCTGCACATGTATCAAACAGACACACATACAGAAACAATGTGGCACTTTCAATCCATATTCTGTGATTGCTGGGGGTGGGAAGGTCATGTACCTTCTTGTAGTATTTTATACAGAAAAGTAATATATTTCTAGTCCAAGTTAAATTACCAATGTTTCTAGTGTAGATGTAAATAATACAAAATAGCGTTTTGAGATTCCACCCTGTGGTAGAGTGTTTGCCAAGCATGTTCAAGGTTCCACTACCACCACACATACACACATATTCTCTCTCTCTCTCTCTCTCTCTCTCTCTCTCTCTCTCTCTCTCTCTCTCTCTCTCTCTCTCTCTGTGTGTGTGTGTGTGTGTGTGTGTGTGTGTCTGTGTGTGTGTGTGTGTGTATATATAACATTCACAATTATAATGATAACACTAATGTAAGCATCTTAAGAAATCATTTAAATTGTTAAGATTTAGTAAATTTTTAAAAAGCAAGGTTATGGAATAGCCATCCCTGAAAATATACATACAAGTAATATTGTGTGACCTGAACTGGTTATTTATGCATACAGTACAATAAGTGAAGTAAGAGGGGATGAATTTGAAGGAGAGTGGGGAGGACCATATGAGGGAGTTTGGGGGACAAAAGAGAAGGCAGAAATACTGTAATAATCTCAAAAATAAAATTAACAAAACAAGGTTACCTTTATAAAACTTTGTAAATCCACACCCAAGAAAATATTGGCTCACTAATGCTGTTAATGGCAGTGGTAGCAGTGGGCAGTGGATTCTTTGTAGAGTTCCTACTTTTTATGACTTCATATATCCATTTATGCAGTTATAAGTACTGGCTACAAAATAACGAGGAGCATCTGCCTTGTCCAGTTTAAGTTCAGAAACACAACCTACATCCATAGACACTAGAGGGACGACACCTCAACAGTCAGCAGCTCTTCATCCAGACCAACAGTTCAGGGTAGAAGGGGCAGAGTGGGCTCTGCCCTCAACCAGGAATGGCAGGTTGAACCCAGTGCTGTGTGTTTAGCCCAGCTGCATGGACACGCATTTTCCTTCCAAACAAAATGACCGGGCAAAAAGGAATTCCAGAGTGCAAAGCATGTGTGCACAGGTAGGGTTCTGTAAAGCTGTGATTACATGGGTTTTGACCACTACAGCTAACCTAGTATGCTGTAATTTTGCCCTGAACAAAATCATTTTAAAAAATTGTGGATATACTAAATCCAACAGCCAGGAGGAAAAAAAATCCTCCTCATCATCATCATTATCATCCCATCAAAATAGTTACCATCTGTTCCATGCACAGCGTGTGCCATGAAGTGGCTCCCTCAAAAGCCACATTCACCCCTCTGCAGTAAAGACAAAGCAAGTGGCCTCTGGTTTACAGTTGAGGAAACACTTTTAAAAGAAGCTGAGTGAGTCCCTGGGGGACCACATACCTCACACATGGGGCTCAAATGTGGGCATAGACAGCTTGGCTGGAGAGCCCAGACTCCAAGTTTTGCAAATAATGCCTCTCATCAATTTCATGCAAGCAATCCACAATGTTCCAGACAAGCCTCCGAGTCTCAACAGTGGGAACATGAGGACTCCTGCAAGAACATGATGACTTCCTTCTAGATCTAGAACAATTCCACAGCAAGATGTTCCAGGCTAGGAGGCTGTGCTGTCTACCCAGCCCTGTAAGATGAGCTGCTGACACAAGCATAATGAGCCACCAGTTCCATGCCTGCTACTGTGAAGAGGGCTCCCAAGCAGCATGGCACTGGGAACAAGACCTGAAACAGAAGATAAAGCCCCTAGTGTTGTGGGGCCAGGTCAGGGAGCAGCAGCACATGGAACTGTATTTTAAGTACGGTGGGCCCTACTCAACATCATGTCATCTGTAAGTCAGGCAGAGAGACTGAGTTCTATTCTAAATGCCAGCCAAAAGAAGTAAGGCCAGATTTTCCTGCTAGACACCAAATCCTTGCTAGTGCCGCACTTAGTGGTGTATTAAAAAGTCCCGAAGCTGCTAACTAGAAATATAACTGTCACCGCTGTTCATAAAGAAAGGAAAGAATTAATGCAAAAAGTGCAAACTGTAGCACTGAACAGCTGTGACTTCTGTACAAATGTGGGTTTCTCTCCTCTTTTGTGAAATCATGTCTCCTGGCTACATTCTGGTTTTAATGGCAGTTACACAATTTGCTTAAGTAGCTAATCCAGAAGACACAGTTTCCTGGGATGGCTTTCTTGCAAGCTGCCTCC